TTGTACATAATGATGAATATAGATCGATTCAGAAATGTAGACACAGATGGTTACAAGAGCTTCTGAAAGGTTAGGCCATTTTTTGTGGAGCCTTTTTTCAGGGGCCATTTTTTTCACGGCCATTTCTAGTACAGAAGTATACTGCTTTTACAATTTAATAATTTCTTATGTTTAAAAGGTGTATAAAATAAGAACAAAATAATTTTGAGCCTGAAATCTGCCAAAAAATAAGAACACTGAGCCCGGGCAAAATTTTACTGGTTCTTATAAAAGTGTATAAAACTACTGTATTTTATTTGAGTATGGTTAGGGACAGCTCCTCTAAATAAAAAAAGAAAGAGCCAACATTCACTTTAACAAGAAACACAAATATAAATGAATAATTAATATATTAAAAGGCTTATCAAATATATGATAAATAACCATTATCAAGTATCTAATTTTAGCCTCAAATTATTATATTAACTAGATGTGGTTGGAATGCAAATAAGCTAATAATAAATATAAATCTAGAGGCCATACCTACTGTATGTTTCAATAACACAGAATAAATATTAAACTAAATTGGAAACAGTAGTTATCGAACTTATGTAACAGTTACAATATAGAAGCAATCACAAATACCAGACAAAATAAAAATAAGAATTTCAGATCCATCTTGATCCAATTTAAAAGCTGTCAATACACACACAGATGTACAGACCCAAGTTGTCTGCCAGGGCCATTAGCAGACGCTAATTGATGGCTGGGATAACAAACTGGTTATTGGCTGCCTAGCTTCCATATGTCACTCTATTGATAGCACTGCAAGTGGTCTCATCCCCTGCACTAAAATTATACACCAAAATGCTTCTGAAGGAAAGACCACCTATGGAGCTTAGCAACCAAAAGCACATTTTTTAAATGTTATTCTTTACTACATTACTTTTTTATTTGAGCAAATAAAATAAAAAACATCTTGTCCCTTCCCCCTTGTGAATTTTTTTGATACCACCTCAATATATTGATTTTCAAAGGCTAAACCAGCCAATAATTTTTTATTCTCCCTATCATAGGCCCGGGCAATGCAAATAGTTTACTAATTGGCATGCGAGTATGGTAGCCATTATTTTTTTTAAGGAAAAAGAAAAAATACCTCAATTTCGACCTGTGTGAGAAAAAAATTATTTGACCTTAAACGCATTCATTTATTGAAAGCTTCAAGTTTTTTAATTAAAGAACAGCAAATGTTTCAAATTTGATGCACCAGGTGTTGCTGAAATATTGGCATACATTTTAATTTTAATCATTCTAACTCTACTAAAACACACTTGCTGGAAATGAAAAACAACATTTTTTCAATGATATGAAAGGCAAAATAGCCAATCAGATATTACAATTTAGAGTGAGCAAAAAAAATAAAAATGTATAGACCTTATTTATACTTCTATTATATTTTTCATGAATGACAATATGAAACATATTGTTTTGTGTAACACCCACTCTCTCCCAAAAATGCATCCTGGTACATTTAATGAAAATATAAAACCTACAAAATATGGATATTAATAATCATTGTCTATATGGATATGACCAGGTGTTTGTAATTCTCATATGAAACTTGCCACCTGATCATCCTCTTACGCAAAAAACATATGGGGACAGGGCCGCCGCCTACTACTACTGTACTGTATTATTGATCCCCTCACTGACATTGATCCTTAACGCTTCATAGCACATTGGTATATTTCATATAAATTTCCAACTGGTCAGTGTTAGAGTAGGTAAGCCTACAGTACATCTGATTATTGAACTAAAAAATGTGAATTAATGGTATAATTTCGTTAATTATCATTAACAGTTTTGCATATTACAATTTTATATATATATATTTACAGCATTGATGATTAATAAAAAGTGCAGCCACGTTAATCTGGGAACAATATAAAAGAAATGACACCAGCATTTTTAAGACTAACAATTTCTCTAGCTTTTGTCTACACAGTGGGCTTCATCAGAAGACTGTCCTGATTATATTAAAGAATTTAAACAAGGATTTATGGTTAACACACATTATCTGCTTCTTCATTCAGTGCAGAATTCAATGCTTCACTTTGTTGAAAAAATTTAGTGATTAAAATTTATTAAAAAGTAATACTTTACAAAAAATGAAGAGCACGCCTCTATATTTGTAAATTTAATAAAAACATTACAGAAAAACATACAAATTATAAATATGGTAACTGAAAATTAATATTTAAAGCATGCTATAGAGTAATTATTTTTCTAGGAATTTGATTAATAATTAATTCTATTAAATAAACAGATTAGAAATATTACTATTAAATTATTCATGTGTGGTTTACCAGAAGATATATTAAAGAAAATTATTCAATAAGTATATTTGTGAAAAAGCTTTTAACTGTTATAGCGCCACCTACAGTTTAGTTAAATACAACCCAGTAGGCATCATGGTGAGATGGCTTGGAGGAGTGCTTTAGTGATTTGCCCTACAGGTAAATTAACTAACCATGAAGGTAGTATTGGCAATTGGCACAGCATTCAGATGACACGCATTAACAAGGTCCTGGTGCTCACATTAAATTGATAATTGAGAATTAATAATTATTAAATAGGATTAATTATCGATGTAATGTTTTGTTACTTCGACATTATTTTCTTAATAAACTGCTTTCCAAGAAATTTCAAATAGTCATGTCAATACAAATAAAATATATTTTTAAACTTAGCCTAAGTAAAAAATAAATAAGTTAATCTTTCTTGTTTTTCTTTCCTGTAGCTTCTACAGTAGATATTATAGGTGATATGCACAAAATAAAAAAGTAAAATGAATGCAAGAAAGATAACACTATCTAAAACAGACGTTATTTTATAATTTACAGATAAAAAGAAAACCACAGAAGACAATGATTATAGTAGCTATCAGTGGCTGCCAATCTTGCTTAAATTCCAATGAAGGAAAACAATACAATATGTTTAAATCTCATTATAACTAAAAGTTGCCTTTGGCCTTCTCCACAGAACTCCTTGGTCCTCCCATAACAGCAACTGTCATTTAACCAGCCTCCTCACCTGTTTATTGTTAAAATCTATCAATCCAGTTTCCATCTGAATAAACATTTAAAATTCCTCACCAGCTCAGGGAATCTATCCATTCCACCCAATTACAACCCCTGTATTATAAACCAGCAGGAGTTGGCAGACTATACATCGAGGTCAATCGAAGTTCATCAAAATTTGACCCAATTTAAAATTCAAGATGGCTTCCAAAACACCACAGCTGATTTGAAACTGTTATGATCACTTTGGATATCTTTTCAATCTAAAATAATATTTTAAGTTCCTTTTTATAGCATTGCATACAATGATTAAAAAAAAACCAAAAAAAAAAACAACTTTACAACACTTTATAAATTATCCTGAATGTGTGTCCTTTTTGATGACCCAAAAATAAAACATTCATTATTTATCTTGCGTTTCACTGGTAATGACTTAAGGTGCACACAAACCTCCAAAGCCCAGAGGTGACATTATGACCTATCTGTACCCGCTATTTCTTACTTGATAGTGTGTTTTAAAATGTCATGTAAGCAATTAACATTTCTTTACTTGGGGATTTCTTAAATGAACATTAAAATGTGTTGACATTTTGTTTCAAACCTAACGATTCGGATTAAGAAAATAGTATGGAAAGTTTGCGTACTTAAGAGTTTACCCTGGTCTCCTGCACTCTTCTGAGCATGCACAAATCTTCCACAAATTATTAAAACCACCTCCTGCAAATTTGGAATGCTTGCATGTTGCTAAGTATAATGTGTTTCTATGAAGTTAGCTGACCAAGAGTATTGCCTATTTGCAGCAAAATGCTGTGGATTCTCTGAACTTAAAAATAAACTGTAAAATGTATCTACTTACTGAATTAACTAAAAATATATTTGGGTGCAACAGATAATTATATACAAAAAGCTCTTATATAGAGCGAAGGGTGTTGATGTGCAAAACAATGGAACAATGAAGGGATAAATAAAAATTACAGTGAATCATTGTCATCATGATAGAATAAACAACCTAATGAAAACTAATATATTATGTAGCAATATTTCTAAGAGATGCGAGCATCAATTGATCAAAGTGTAATAAATAAGTGATTTTTGAGAAATATGAGTATGATATTTACAGTAGGCCTAACCTAAGGCTAGTTTGAACATTAAAGAAAATAAGTAAAACGTTATTTGTACAGTACCACAGCAGCTGAATTGTCCCAAATTTTTGTGTTCTCATTGCTGTTTCATCAACTTTCAATATTAATTATACTTGAATCAACATAATTTTATTAGAACTTTTTTTTAGTCAACTCATATTAGAAATATATAATCATAAAAAATATTAATATGATATCGAGTGTCATTTTGTGAAATTGAAAAGCCTTTTGCTAAGAAACTGAAGCAGATGGCTTGTGGGAGTTAAGAATGTCGATGACAATAAAGCACACAATACTCTCCTATCAATCCACACATCACCATCAGCATTGCCAACATCATCAACACAATAGAGGCTATTGTTTGACAAGTATGTATGGTGTGTGCGTGTGTGCGCACTTATGTGTATAGTAAAGTATGTGTGGGAGCATGGAAGTGCGTGAACGATTCCGACGTGCTTACAAGTCTTATGCATTACTAAAAAAACATGTTGAAATTTCACATGTTTTATAATTCTTATAATATAAGACAATGTAAGGGAAAAAATAACCGATCCACCTGTGACAAAAGATACCAAGAAGATAGGATCTGTCCTACCAGCGATAAATTTAAAGTTTAAGGCTGAAAAGAAAAGTAGGTTTCGATGACATGAATCTTGGAAAAACCATAATCTAATATATAAAATAAATGACAGATTTCACAAAAGACAGACATGTTCACAGTTTAGAAGTAGAGGAGGCTGACAAAAGAAAGTGAAATGCACTATAACTTAAATAAGAACAAAGTGAGGCTCAAGTAAAATTTCAAATGAGGTTTTTATTTGTTTTTTAATAGAAAACCAACCAATATTATCTCTTATGTGCAGTAGGTGTCTTTATGTATTACCTCTCTGGCTCTGCAGAGTAATATATTGCTCTTCACTAATAATTTTCTATCTTTAAAAAGTGTGTAAAATAAGAAAATCTGAGCCTGAAATCGGCAAAAAAAAAAAAAAAAGAATACTGAGACTGGACAAAACTTTACCTTATAAAAAAACAAATTGTTTATTCTGCCGTCTAAAACTTGAATTTGTCTTATCTTTAAAGTTAGGGTTGGAGTGCGCATTCACTAATCATCAAGAAAATGCTTTGTAAATGAATCTGCCGGCTGAATAAACACTGTCTAAAAAAAGTGTATGTTAGAAGATTGGAAATGTTCCTTTAACATGAAGACACAATACAGAAGAGGAGCATAAAGACCTCATAAAATGTACCAGGCAGTAGGTTAGGTTTAAGAGGGTTCTTTAATGTGTCAGTACATTAGCAGTTTCTTTTTAGGCTTCACTGGAAAATAAGTGAATAAAATGACCAAAAAGAATCAAGACGCTGTCTACTATACACTACGTCACTACTACATATTTGATTTTAAATTCTAGAAACCTTGTAAAGTATTCATAATTTCCTGCAACTTAACTTTGATTATTTTTGAAAGCTTGAAAAATAAGAATTAGCATAATAAACTCGGTCATATGTTCACCTCAAAATTGTCAGAAAAAAAATATGAACATCACTTACTTGTGTTAGGTTGTCGATGAAATTCAAAACTGAACACGCCTGTTCCATGACAAAAATAATCATTGTTCTTCTGTGCTCGTGCATGCATCAACTTAGATAACGAGATCGCCTTTTGTTCAGACTTAACTGGAGCGGGCATAACAGGCCCAGCTCCTGAGCTAGCCACCGGGATGACCTGCGTTTCCACATCGTGCTCTTTTTTGACTTCAACTCTGCTGAGACTCGGGCTACTGGTATTCTTGCGCATCCTGGCCCGTAGAATGTCACACAATCCAAAAGAAATGATGCTACTTCTAGATGATCTACTTCACACTAGGTGTGTTACGCAAGCTGTCAATATCCAACAGCCAGAACAAGCAAAATATGTACTTATTACGATAGCCGCAGCAAATTTTAGGTTAGCCCACTACAGGCGGTCAACTGCAAGCATAATCAACTGGTATTAACACCTGGTCACAGAGATGTATTCCAACAGTTTACACAGTTGACCAATCAATGCAACAAATGCCTAGAGAACCTCTGGCCGACATATATTTTCTCAGAAAAAGCACTCACAGGCAACCATATGTTTATCAAGATGAATTCTAAAATCGTAGCAACGTCTGGATCTGTTGAAGTACATTTAACACAAGTTGACTCGGTGCTTATAAATTTACATTAATTTCCAGTCATCAATAAGATATTTGTATTTTCCCGATCCTTATTGAGTCTGGCAAAATCTGAAAAGAGAATGAACTTACATTTGAATCTGGATAAACAGGTGGATAACATACAGCATAGGAAATTGAATCACTACAGATATCATATCATCACATGATATTTTTACCAAACAAAAATCAATACTGCGCAGAGACATCATCACCATTCCCTTCCCGGGTTCCTGCTGATTATAAAGTACCAAAGACAGACTGCTACCATAAACAGCTTGGCTTTAAAATTTGCACTTTTTTTTTTTGCAGCAATATTGCTCACAGCTGAATTGGAGTATTTATGACAAAGACGCCGCACTTTCATATGGACATATACAATGTGTAAACTGTTATTAATGGCATAAAACACATTGCAGGCCTGCAACTAAGTCTACACCCAAGAGAAGTATAATATGTTCCTGCCTGTTCTTATATGGTTTGAAGATACTCAAATAAATAAATTATCACCGGTATGGTACAGTATTAGACTATACATCAACAATGTGCATACAACACCTGTAATAATAATTTAAGTATAATAATTTATTAAGTATTTCAATAATTTATTATTATATTTACTATATTTACACAATTATCTATCGTTTATATTTATATTATTTTTTATATTTATTATATTTTTTGAGTCACCTTTACTGTTATAGTGCTACTCTTGTAAAAGACTGGTGAATTATAAAAACAAACAAAAAACTTTTAAAAATAAATACAAAATTTCAAAAATAATCCATAAAGGATATATTAAATATTATGGTCATATTTGTTTTCTCTACAATATACCAAAACAACAGAATAACACACTATTGCATTGACAAACTTATGCAACTTACATAGTTTTTTTTAAAACAAAGGATAAGTTCTTAAATATTGTTACATTCCAAACAAATGAAGATATTCCATATTCTTTCATCACTTTGATTACCATTATTAGAGCGTGGTAAGGTTGTGCACAGTAATAACCTTTATTAGCTTAGCATCGTGTCAGGAATGTATTAACATGGTAAGCAGAGCCTTTAATAACGCAAAAACACCACGTAAAAAAACACCATGTAAATCATACAGATACGGGCCATATGTTACCACAGAAGTCTTCAGTGTTTCTGGAGTATATAGAAGGATCGTACTTGGGTCGAACTGCACTGTGCACAATTCACATTCAAAGATGATTTATGTTCATATATTTCAAGTTTGGCAGAATTGAGCCAATAAAAAATGCTGGTTTAAACCTAAGTGTACAGTTGTTCCTTGTAAATAAAATCTGTCTGCATTCCTAGATCCTTGCTTAGGCCTATTACTAAGAAAAGATGATGCAGGAGAACATGAAAAGAAAAATAATAATCGGGCTAAGTATGCCCAAGGCATATTCAAAGGCTAATTAGTATTTATCTATTCATTCTTTTACTGCAAACAATTTAGTAGTCATGGCCATGTACAGATACATAATTAAGAGTGAGCAGAAATACCACATCATCAATACAATGTAAAATATTTCATACTATGATTACAATTTTTAAACAAGTATATCATATTTTTTTTATATTTTTGCTTAATTTGTTTGCTAATTGCAAATTTAAAAAAAATCAATTAAATTTTTCATATTTGAATCCATTGCTAAAAGAATCACAAGCAAATACACAGGACATTTTATGAGACAAAATATATTCTAAGGTATAACTACATTATCATATCTTTAGTTATATCAATATTATTTATTTGATAAATAACAAACTGTGATGATCAATATATATAAGGGTCATAGTTTATAGAAGGGGGACAAGATCTGCAAATTTACACCAAATTAAGTTTTATGACAATCAGAAATCCTTTCTTTGGCTCCAAGGTCACTCAAGTTAAGGTCAATGCTCTCTTAAAAAGTAAATAAACAGTGTAGTGAAGAGTATCAAAATAATCACATGATGGATAATAAAAACCAATAAATAAGTAATCAAACCCATCTTGAGATAATTATAAAAGGAATGATGGATAATCAAATTGCATCATGGGATAGTTAAAACATGAAGAAGAGGCATCATATAAGAATGAAAATATATTACAGGCTACAATAGTAGGTAATGACTCGTAGACATGCAAAATTAAGGTTATCATTAGAGACATTCATCATCAATATTGAGAATGAAAATAATTAGCCGAAGAAGATCCGAGAATGCGGATTGAAAGCTACTGGTGAGAAACAACCTTTATTTTTTTGGCTTAACATATGAAATTTGATATTATAATAATAAGACTGCAACTAAAAATTAAAATTATTATGTATTAAGTATTAATTAATGCAAGATGCAACATGAAGGCATCTCCATGGACACAGCAAACAATGTTTGAATAATACACAACAATGCACCAACAGATATAAAATTAATGTAAATATACTGACAGTGGTCTCCCGCATGTCGCAAGAGTCTTCTGAAAAAATCGGCAGTTTCCCACACTCCTGCGAGCAAGACAAAATATCCTAGAAACTAACTTATCTCTCGTAAATCCATGATGTTTTTATGTTTTACAATGTATATTAGGCCTATTTGGAAAAAACAGAAATCAGACAAAAACCACCCTAGACAAAAACCACCCTGGACAATAACCACTCAAAATGGACTATACCATTTTTTACAATGGGGTGGGCAGTGGGGTGGGCAATGTTAGGAGGGCTTGTTTCTATCTAGGTTTACAATAGGATAGTTTATTATTTGTCCCCCTGAAGTCAGCTGACTATATTAATGCACAGCAGAATAGATGTATAAAAGCCGGGAACTCACTGTACACGATTCTATAAGAACGCAATGCAACGCGATGGCGCATACACTACAGATTGTTTTTAATCACAAGTCGTTCAGACTGCCACCGACAATCAGCAGATGGTGTTACGTCATCTAGCGCTCACGTTAAGCGGAATTGGTACTGATATGAGGTATATTTATTTGTTTATTAATATTACTTGTGTTGTTTATCTTAATGGTCATAAGCCCTTTATTTTTATTTTAAAAAAAAATTATACATGCTTGCTACAGCACCCTATAAACATTTTGTTTTTGTTTTTTTATTCTAATTGCTTTTTATTTACTGATGCTGACGCCGATTGAGACGATGATTATGACTACAGACGATGATTACGAAAATGATTTTTCTGTATCGTGAGTCTTGAATTATTCACAGACCCATTTTTTATTTTCCTTGTCAATCAAGGTTAAATATTAACAGATTCATAAATTATTAAATGTTGATGTTAATTGTGGAAGTAAAATTAGTCACACATCATTGGTTTAACTAGAGAATCCACAAACAAAAATCATAACATATTGAACATAGAAATAATGAATGTGCAAAATGTAGACACTTTACAAACATAGCCCTACCGTATTTTAGTTTATTACTGAATATCTTGCCTATATTATTTTGTAATAATGAGAAATTATCATAAACAATCATCTTCATGAAAAGCTATTTTTAGATTCGGCAGTAATTTGCATATTATCTGCAAACTTTTATTGTACAATTAAATGTACAGTGAGTATAAAGGGGAATTGCATATTTACTAGTCCATTTATGTTAAGCCCATCTGGTTTTTATTACATACCCTTCTAGCAGATAATGTAAATATAACAAATTAATTAATGAAAAATACTGTACAATAATGATAAAATATTCTTAACTTGTATAATAACAATACTATATAAATAATAATAATAATCCTTTTGTTTACAATATTTGAATAATAGATAATTAATTTATAATAATCCCATAATATAACAATATCATAATTTTTAACATAACAAAAGCATCATACTTTGCAAAAAAAAAACAAAAAAAAAACAAAAAAAAANCTACTACGGTACCTTACAGGAGGAAATTAAAACAGGATGTTCCAGAAACTGTGGCTGACCAAGTAACAATCCAAGAGTTTTCAAGTTGAGCATAAATATCCAAAAGTTATATTCCTTAAAGGGTTAATCATGAGATAACTATGAGAATTGATGTCCTGCGTTTCGATGTCACGCTAAAAGCGAGATGAATCCGAGTGGTCAAACGCTAGGTTCATTCAACAGAACATGAGTAAACACTGCATGTAGCTTAGTAGCCGCATTCCTACTGAAAACCCAGCTGGCCACACTCGTCAGCTCAGCAACTGAAGATAAACTCTCCCTTCCTGTGAGAAGTCAGTCGATGGCTGTGATTGGTCCAAGCTGGGAGGGCTTTTCCTAGTCAAGCTGACAAGTATCGACTCAATCTACAAGCCACCATACAGCCCTAGTCACCTTTCACTCCAAGAATAAATACCTCCGCAATGAGAAACACATGTGCAATAGATTACTCCCAAACAACAATTACTTCATCAGTTGTCTGAGCAACCAGCACTCATCTGGCACAAGCTGTTTTATGTCACCTGACAAGGCTTGCTAATTCCTGTTTCGAGGATCTTTGATTTATTCCTTGTAGAGACATTCCATGATTTATTTCAATGGCTGTGCAGTTATATTTTGGTGACAAATAAATATAACATTTTTTGAGACACAGTTAAGATGGGTTTTCAGACAGCAGTGAAGTATTTTGGCCTACACAATACGAACAAACTTGTCACAGAACCAACATTGTTTCCTAATGGTTATTTGTTTACTTTAAAAATTGTTTATTTTAAATGGTTGTTTATTTCTGAAGTCAAGTTCATGACCTAATCCAATCTATGCATAATTTGCTATTTTAAGTACCTCCCATCATTGTCTCTGTTGTATATTTTTTTTCCTATCCCATCCTAGAGGAATTAAATGTACTTCTTGTCAATTGCAAATATTTTAGGCTAGTGAACTACAAAAGTAGGTATTAGGCCCAATAACAAAAAAATTACTGTATTAGTTTACCCTTGCCCGCATGTCTTCTATGGTATTTTTGTTTTTGAAAAAAAGTTTATTTTGAAAAAAAAAATTTTTTTGAAGAAAAATTTTCTTTTTCATTTTTAGTAAATAATCAGTAGATACTGGGCCTTACTTTAAAAATTAAAACAAAATCTACATCTAAATTTATTTATCAATTGATAATATATATAAATTATAAAAATATGGTATAACTCTTTAACAAAAACCACTTACTGTACATCAGAATATATATTTCTATATTTAGCCAGCCCAATATGTTTTCCGTTCTCATGCCATGCCTTAATTTGTGAGGAGTGAAATACAAACTTACATCACACATCTTAACACGTCAAAAAACATATGTTAGGTAATAATTAGCTAGAGTGGTGCTGATGCATAATATATGAGCGAAACATACACGAACGGGAACTGGTGCTTACAAAACAGGTGTAAACACAACATATGATCAACAACAATACAAATACGATTGAGGAAAACCTAGATAGATATATACTATTATGTCATGGCTGTCGGTGTGATACACTAACCTATGCAAATTATAGCACTTATCAAATCCATAAATTATAACACATCCATGGTGATCAATCATAATTTTGCTAAATTACGACTAATGGCACATGTTTATTAACTAATGGAGTGAAGCTACGGCTTGGTGGTTAGGTTGATCATCTTTTAATACCAGGGTAAATGGTTCAAATCTTGTGAAATCCATGATTGTTTTTAATCTATTTCAATTATTTAGCACCTTACAAGACATATTATTGCATTCTAAAGTATAACATATATAAATGCTTGCAGTATACAGCACGGATAATTCCAAAAATAACTGTTGTTTTTGTTGAGAATCTCGACGTTTTGATTAAGTTGCATCAATCGTCATCAGGAGATTAATATCTGATAAATAAAAATTTAATTAATTTATGGTGTCTACATATCCAGCATAAACATCTGTTCAGCTCATACAATTAGACACGTGAATGGGTGAAAACCAGAAATAAAAATTCAATAACATAAACACAGGCATCAATAAGCTTCATAAAAGCATATCAATAATAATAAACCAAAAGAGGCAAAAGGTGACTAGAGTTGCATATTATTAAAAGCACACCTGGTTGATGCATACTGTTGTAAATCTCATGTTTTGTTCTAGATCCAACACGTAACACTTATCCCTGATGGTTACAAGGACAAAAAAAAAAAAACAGGATAAATAAAATATTATAATAAGGAAAACCGTAAATAATCTTTTATCAAGGACTGATATGAATTGGTATAGTGACACTACATTACTTAATGTAAACTCACAGGATTTCCCTCCGGGTTCGATGCAAGTTGTTTAAATCTATAATTTTTTTTTATCCGCAATTACTTCTATGAATAATTAATCTACATTTATTTGTTTTCTTCATATTCAGAAATAAGACAGAAACCAGTACCAGTAATAGAAACAAAAAGGCAAAAAGCTGTCATTGTCGGTTCTTGTGTAAAATAAGATTCGCAAAAATGCGGTAGATATTATTTTCTCTTGAATTTTTGATTGTGCAACTTGTTTTTTATTTTAAGACTGTATATGGTAATGTTCTTTTGCTGTTGATCTAGGAAATTAAACAATTACAAATTTAAAAAACAAATATGAATAAAATAAACTGATCAACAGGAAGAATGGTACAATCTGCTTTCTTATACAGATTGGATTGTAGAGTGCTTTAGATTTTCACTGTTTGTAGCAAGCAGTTAAATGTTAACAGAACACTATGTATGCCTAATGAATGTAAAGTGATTCATGAATATAAGACAACTGCTCTAACGTAAGGCAAGTACTTGTCGAAGACATATGAAAATTATGCTAATCTTGGAAATATGGAGAACATCGCGCACACATATATTGTGTCGATACCCAACAGCTGTGAGAGGCAAAAGCTGAAGGAATAGTCATCGCTTCGCATTAAAACCCTAAGCAGGCTGTGCATTAAAACGCACCAACACCTGTTCACAATCGCTCATTGCTAACGTCGGAGGATGTTAATGACACTGCCGTCACAGTCATCGTCACAAATTTCTTCTTTTTTTTTGTCACGTGTGTGGAATAATAGGAAAAATTTTCAACATCGTTTTTTCCAAATGCTGCAAAGAATTCTTGTTTGTCTATCAAATTTAATTTTTTTGCGCATGTGTGGAATTAGGACAAATTTTACAACATCGTTTTTTGAATACCACAGAGAATTAATGTCTATCACATTTTTTTGCAAATGTCATGTTACTCAAAACCGACAATGACAGCTTTTTGCCTTTTCATTTCCATTACCTATTTTAACTAACAAGATTTTCAGCATAATCTTAAGATCAGAGTAGACATGGCCAAAAAAACAATGAGAACAAACGTTGGATTTGCAAGGATAAAAATCAGGATTGAATGGTGTATGAACAGAAATTTATGTTATATGAAATGCTAAAATCTACTTTATACAAAGTAAGATTATGTTATCAATTTAATTATTATATAGAATTGTAATAAGCTCCTCAAATAACCATCAGAACTTTCACTGGAACCTTATGTCCACACTATTGATTTTAAACTTCTATAGCGCATCATCAATTTCATCATCATAGGACCATCATAATATTACATCATCATAATTATATCATCAAAACCAATGTTATTAAACTACCAAAATCATAACCATCATGATAATTAGATCCCATCAACATATCAATTCCCAGCAACATCACTAATATATATATAATATAGTGTAGTTTTATATAGCACCATATCCATCTAATATAAGATGCTCAGGGCGCTTGATATGTAGACTAGGAAACTCGATCAATGACTTTCTTCACCCCTAAGGGTCCCTTCGTGTCTGTGCTACCAGGTAACCCAGTACCAGCAACTCTCGTCGTCTACCACAGGGGACTGTCTATTCCAATACACTGGGTATCCCCCCTACTTGTCTCGAAGATGTCCTCAGGTTCTTTATAGTGCACACGAGCCACTGTAGACACTGGGCCTACTTGTTCTACCACCAGAACCATAGGCGAGCGTACCGTTCGAACCAGCGCCTATTTCTTCATCATCATCACATACATCAATATCAACACCATCACATGATCAAGACCATCAACATCATATCAATGTTCTTATCATCCTGACCACCATAATCACCTTCATCATCACATCATCATTATCACAATCATAATATCAATATCATTACTATCATATCAACATCTTCAAGATCACATCAGAATCAATTTGCAAATACTCCAAGTACATGAAACATGTGTAATGTTTTAATAATGACAATAAAGTATCGCGAGACATCTCCATGTAAGGAGAGAGAACTAGACAGGAAGCAAGTTCGGTTGCC